TAATTAAGGTGGATAAGGTTCAATATACAGGTATGGTCACGGTACACCCAACACTCGCTGTAATAAGGACACCAATATACTGACCAAATTAATGGATGGAAAAAATATTCTGAGGATTTTCTTAACCTTAACCCCCTAATTTATTTCACCTGAAGATTAACCACCCTAACGCTAACCCAGGTATCGTTAGGGTGTATAATAATCAGGTGAAATAAGTTACGGGTTAATGTTAAGGTGAACCCAATTTAAAAACACGAAAATTAATTTGTTATTTTGGAAGTTAATTTTCCAAATAAAAAATAAACGTGTATAATGTAATTTATGGGAATGGCCCGTGTTACCCGAGTCATCGGTTATAGATAAGGTGACATGCTCCCCTCAGTTAGGAACCTTAACTACTTGACTTGTCATAGCAAAAGCTGCTTATTAAATTCCTTGCAGATTTTCGATTAAGTTTAGTCAATACCCGCCGACCAAGTTCGGTTCGGAAGTTCAGTCTCTATGTCCACCTACCAAGTATTAGTAGTACAGTACAGTATCATTTAGTTACTCCTAAAATACATATCTATCACTCATTTTAAATAATTTCTTAATCGTATAATTTAAACCATATTAAATGTCTCATTTACTTATTGAATTTAATACCAAATGAGTTAGGTATACCACCGTCAGACGCGAGAAGGAGTCTAGGGTAAATCATAAGCCCTGTAAGGTGGGCTGAAACACGCAGCTGAAGACTTGGAATGACGGCTCTTTAGTCGAGTCCGCTCACGTGCCCAACTACTGACCTACATCAGTTGGTTGGTTCGTCTCTCACGGTCAGGTTTATATTATGATCCCTCTTCTCCCAACACTGAAATTTACATAAGCTTCTGCTGCGTTGGTTTTAGTTGATGATGGTCAGGGCTGGAGTCACGCGCTTGTGTGTGTGTTTGTGTTTGTATGTACTGTACTTACTGTAAATTTGGTTCCTTATTTGTGTATTATGTATATGCCGGTTTGTTTATTTATGTATGTGTTCCCTCTTTCGTTTTTTATGTATATGTTGGCTTATTTGTGTACATGTATGCTTTATGTTCTCGTTTATGTATGTCCTGGTTCAGTTCTTTATATAAATGCTCCCTCACGTTAGCCGCCACAGCACCACACAACCCAGCTCAGCCAACCTCTCCCTCTCTCAGCTGTTGGACAGGAAGTGGGTGTTTGTGACAAGATCTACCTCTCCTTTATCAGTTATTGCCCACCTAGTAATCAAAGAGGACTCATCTTGATCCGCCCAGCATTTCTCAGAATAGTCTCTTGAAGAGACACCACGACTTTATCACCTGTTCTGGCAAGGTGTCCAAAACGTCCACAAGTGTTGATTAGTTGTTTTGCTCACCTTGGACTGTCGTAGTGTGACCATTTATGTGCTTATTATATTGAGTCCAACTCTGCACATACTTCACTGAGGACAGGTTGGGTTCTGTGAGTGACTTGACGGGTCTTTCAACGGGGCTCCCTGCTGACTTAAACTGCGAGATAAGTGGCATCTGAATACTTGGTCAGAGTCATGTCAATATAAGTTACTGAGTCATGTGGTGGTGGAGAACTGCCACCTTCTACGGCACATCACAAAACATAGATAAACAACTGACTAATATCGTCGCCAGGTTACATGCCAGTCTGTTATCTGCACACTGCAAAGGACTTATCGTCTCCTTAGGTAAGGAAAGATTCTGCAGAAACATTCCAGTTTAATCTGCCATCGTCATTACCTGCGATGGTTTTTAACCACACGGAACTACTTACAAGTCATGTAAATCTTCCCAACTCTCAAGAAAAGCCTAATTGGTGCCTGTACTGCATAGACTCTCTTTGTACACCTATACCTCCATCTGCTGCCAGCACGAAATGGCGATTGAACGTCCAGTACGGCCAACTTTTTATAATGTCATCGTAGTGCGGCGATCGAGTGGATACAGTACTCACCTCCTGTTCTGTAAGTCAAAGGTTCGATCCCCGGGCACTCCCAATTCATCCAGCAGTAAACAGACGTCAAAGTTTACATATTGTGTACCGAAGGCTTAGTATACAATGTGTTGTATCCACACTGTCCCTAACGGGCAGTCAAGCCTATGAGAACCACTTTCTTTTTATATAGAATAAACACTGTTCAGTATGAACCGGGGCACTTAACGCTTCTACAAGAGCGATGTAGCCATACTTCCAGAATATTCAATAATAATTTATCTACTGCTTAAAGACGGAAACTACCTGAAACGTCGAGAGAAGACCATGGCAGCAGCCTCCGTACTGACCTTGACAGACGACTTTCTTACCTTTCATCGGTGTTTTGGTTGACGACAGAACAAGACATGATGCAACTAAAGGATTGGTAAAAACAGTTGATATCTGTCCCTCTTTTTATTCCAACAATAAGTGTTGTTCCCAAAGTATAACATTAACATGTGACCTGCTATGGCGTTCTTCAATAACAAGGCCCCAATTTCTTCCCTCTTCTCTGAGGAATTTTCACTATGTTCTTTAATGCAAAAACTTAATCCACAGATCCATTTTCTTTACTGATACACTCACTTTTTTCTCAATAAACTTTGAAATGCATTTTGGGATCAATTAACAACTTAGAATGGATAGAAATATCAAGTTATAGAGAGTGTCAGTCACGGAACTTAAAAGATAGCAACTACTCTTATAAAAGCGTACACATTCCTCCCTCGGAAAAAATCCACCACTGCCTGTTGTTTGTACAGATGCATTTCATAATTAGTGCACACAGTCAAGTGTTTGTACCAGACCTCAGGTGTGATGATATTACAAAACAAACCATCATATGATTACCACAGTCTCTCAGTTCATTCAGCACACAGAATGATAAACTGAAAATTTAGTGTTCGTGACCCCACCTGAAGCAAGGTAAAGTGAGAGTGATGTATCGTCCCGGAGACTTGGTGAATACATCGCAGAACGGTTGAGCCATAAACAGTTGGCAGACCTGTGAAGCCTTGGTAAGGGGTCGCCAGTGACACCATTCACTGTGTTGGGTAGTCAAGTTTCAATATACTTCGGCTAAAGCTTGGAACATACTTCATTCTCTCACTTTACATAGAAGAATAGGTAGTACCTCACATAAAGCTCTTTGGTGATCAGGAAAAAATATGAATCGTGGTTGAAGTTTTCTTATGCTATGAAATGCTTCATTAGCATACAAGATAATGTAGATTTTTTTTTTATTGCGATTGGAGCGACTGATACTAGATGACAATGGGCAAATTAATCACTCATCAGCGATTGGTTCAGGGTGCTGATTGGCTAGCTATGGAAACCACTTGGCTCCGCCCCTTTGTTCCGATTGTTAACTATGAAGGCGCGATTCTTAAAGTGATCACGATGATGTTTTTGTGTAGCAATGGTAGTTTTTTACTGTAGCGTCGTGCCGTGTTTGGTGGAAGATGAAGAGGGGGGGTTCGGACCCCTTGGATCCGCCCCTGTACATGTTCCGGTTATGACTGCATATACTGCTATTAGTGGCAGTTATAATACAGTAATGTCTTTAAGAACCTAGATATAAAATTCTCAGTTAACGAATGAGTACAAGTGATTACAACGGGCCGGCCCGCTGGATATTGCTAAAGTACATTTGGAAGGGTACGGGATTTGGGGGAATGTTCTAGTGTGGATCGGAGACTTTCTCCATGACCACAAGCAGTGTGGGGTGATTAATGGCACAAAATCATCATGTGTACCTGTCACAAGTGGGGTACTACAGGGCAGTGTATTGGGCTCGCTGTTGTTTGCTTGCTTGCTTCATAAATGACATGCCTGACATTGTACATTCCTCCATACACCAATAGCTGCAGAAGGATTTCTGTGAGCTTCAAGAATGGTCGAAGAAATGGCTGCTAAGATTCAATGTCACGAAGTGTAAGGGGCTGCACCTGGGGCGTACCAACGGTAAGGAGGCGTATCATGTCCCAACGGGACGAAGAAACTGCAATAATTGAGACTGAATGTGAAAAGGACCTGGGTGTGTATGTTGATAATGAGCTGAAGTTCTCGGGCCATTGCGAGAAGAAGGTGAATCAGGCAACTAAATTATTAGGTCTTATAAGAAGGTCGTTCAGATATCTAGACGATCTTCAAGAGTGAGGTGCTTCCTCGTCTTGAGTACTGTCGCCCCGTCTGATCCCCGAGATATGCTAGGGACTGTCAGTTGATTGAAAATATCCAAAGGAGGGCCACCAGACCGGTGCTTGCAATTGCCTAGCTTATACTACAGACGGGCAAGGGGGGAGGGGCTAATTGAGGTGTATAAACAACTCAAAGGGCACTACTCAGTCGAGTGTCCTTACCTGGGGCTGGCGGACACTCGCTCCACAAGGGGTCACAGCTCAAGGTTGAAGAAGTAGCTAGTCCAGAAAATTATGAGGGGTAACTTTTTCGGAGTGAGAGTTGTCAACTCTCGGAGCAATCTGCCAGAGAATGTTGTGGCGGCACCGAGTGTGCGCTCTTTCAAGACCAGACTTGACCAACACTGGAGCAGGTTCAGATACATTCAGAAGCCGGTGCATGCTCAGTACTTGCCAACAGTGCGTAACAGAGACGTGACCGATCGCCCAAGCAGCTAACGAGTCTATCAGTAGTGAAGAGGATAAAAGTAAAATGCAGTACTACTGTTGGTTGACTTGCCCAGTATTAAACGTGTACAGAATTTCATCTCAATTAAACAATGGACCAGGAATTTCTATGATTATTAAAACCCCGTGGATACCTAAGGTATGTAAATTTTGACGTTATAATATTAGTACTGCGCTTCATGTATATTACGTATTTGGTACCAACCTGTAATGACGTGATTCATTTCTGTTTACTAAAACTTTCAATCCGGATTTATAGATGACATCGTTTATATGTAATTGTATAACATAATAGATATAAAATACTTAGATTTTTTGTTTTTTTATTATTTTTTATTTGGTACTTTAAGGTACATAGCAACATTCAATGGAATATATGTTATGTGTATATTAAGTAATTTCCGTAGTATAAGCGACCGACCAGAAGGTAAACAACTGGTGTGGTAGTTAAGCCAAGCCACGTTTATTGTTATGTGTTATTTACTATACTATATATTGCATTAAGAGTGTTAAAACTAGGTACTTGAATTTAATTTTAATTGCCAGATATTAAGAAAACGGTTCAGCTAGAGTAAGGTAAGTTTCTTATTTTCTTTATTCATATTAGTGACGTCTGTAAGATTTATCATAAAGCTCTACTACAAGGGAAAGTCTCTTGTGTTCTGGGTCAGTTTCAAATACTTCAATATTTAAAATGTGAGGCTGAAGGGGGGCAGGAATATAGTTTCTAGGGTGTTATTTAACTTGTTGTCACCTACAGGATTTTGAGATATTTATGGTTGCTATCAATAGTTTAAGACAATTCAAAGACACTTTTCGGTACTGTATGAGAACACCGCTACCACCAGAAGGAGGTGTTTGATCTAGTTCATTTTATACCACAGATGTTCCTATCTATAATGATAAGAACATCTGGAGAATGTTTTAGTTTCGGTCATCCCTGTGTTTAGGTATCCGAACTAACATTACCTAACCTATTCCCCGAATGACCAAAACTAAAATAATACCGTATTTTAAAAGAGGTGAGAAATATTTTTTTTAAGTAATTAAAAAAATATGTACATTAGTAATTAACTCAAATATTATAATACTGTACATGTTTAAACCAACCAGAGAATCCAGAAGGATCTCACCTAACCTCCTATCCAGGGGATTGTGTAAACCTAACCTAACCCAACAAGACAGAAGAAATAACAAAGGAACCTGAAGAAACAAACCTTTTATAAATATATATATATATATATATATATATATATATATATATATATATATATATATATATATATATATATATATATATATATATATATATATATATATATATATATATCCGATGAAAGCACTATAGTTTTTTTGCTCTCTCCGTACTTTTGCTTTTGTTGTCCCTTTTCACATGCAGAGGTCCAGGGTTCGATTCCCAACGACAAGTGAGGTATTGTTTGTTTTATGGAAGTCCATGTGTATATGGACTGTTGAGATATATTTGTAGCCTCGTGTTTCCTAGCTGGAGTCTGTAAAATGCTACTGCGACCAAATAGTTGGTACGGCAAATCCCCAGTAGAGGCTCACGTTGCTAAGAATATGACGAATGAGCCTAGAATTGCTTTTGTTGTCCTTCTGATGCCGTGGTAGTGTGTGTGTGTGTGTGTGTGTGTGTGTAGAAATATGCATACAGTACTGTATCTGTATATGAATATATATGTCATTAATTATTTTATTTTCATTTTTCAACAGCAAAAATGCCATCAACCACAGATGATGTGCAGCGTCATTCAGTGCATACATTGGTTTTCCGATCCTTGAAGCGGACCCATGATATGTTTCTTTGTGATCAGGGAGCCTTACCTCCAATTGATGAAGCTTTAGAAAAACTCCGGAAGCTAGTGAAGTCTCGTGACCAGTACGGCCCCGTCCTCAATTTGGTAAAACAGAATAAGAGGAAAGCAGCAGCACAAGCAATTTATGATGGGGAACCTGAAGATATCCCAGTGAGACCAAACAGTGTTTCAAATGGTTCAGCATCTGGACCCTTGGCTCTTCCACCACCATCTGGACCTCAAGCCCCTCCTCCTCCTGCACCCTCACCACAAGGAATGGCTGTCGTTCCTGTTGCTCCAATTGCCAGTGCCAGTGTAGGACAGCAGTCACTTGTACCTCGCCGTGCCCCAACTTTACCAAGACCCAAGTGGCACCCACCTTGGAAACTTGCCCGTGTCATATCTGGTCACCTGGGTTGGGTGAGATGTGTTGCCGTTGAACCAGCAAATGAATGGTTCGCCACAGGATCTAATGATAGGGTGATTAAAATTTGGGACTTAGCATCAGGTCAGCTGAAACTTTCACTGACCGGTCATGTGTCTGCTGTACGAGGCCTGGCAGTCTCCCCTCGTCACCCTTACCTGTTTTCCTGTGGGGAGGATAAGCAGGTTAAATGTTGGGATCTGGAATACAACAAGGTAAAAATCATAACCTTCTTTTGTAGAACTTCAAGTAAATTAGGGTCTTTAACATAACTTTAGTGGCACATTTATTTGACAAAAGATCACTGCATTTCCACTTTAAAAAGTATAAATTTATGACAGAAGATAGATTTTCAGCTGCAGGAAATTGGATACATCAGTCATGTATATGAGTAATATTGATTGGGTGTAAACAAGGCTGCTTAGTATGGGCTAGTAGACCTGCTGCAGTTGTCTTCATTCTTATGTTCTTATGCTATTGGTACAGTAGTAGGATGCCTAGCATACTTGTACTGTAAACCATGTACAGCTCCTCCCCGACTTACGATGGGGTTAGGGACCCAAATCCAGGTCGTAAGTCGAAATGGTCGTAAGTCGAAAATGCTTAAATCTGAAATGGGTGTCTCTTTTTCTTCTCAGCACCACAAAACTCTCACTTTTAAGCTTGCCATCCATTTTAAAGTGAATTACAAAGGAAAATTTTGTCTGTGTACTGAATTTGGGACTCAAAAATACGTAATTTGAAAAAAGTTTGGTACGACTGAGGCAGGTCGTAAGTGCGGGTGGTCATGAGTTTAGGTCGTAAGTCAGGGAGGAGCTGTACTATACAGGCCCCTTCACTACTGCATTTACAGGGGCTCATCATACAAACATTACATTAATCATTATACTGTATTAAGATACTTGTTTTATTATTGTTGTACATTGGTTCCAAAGTATGTTTACTCTTGCGAGTTTCCCTTCCGTAGAATGTAAATGAACACGGTTACCACACAGCACAAAACCTGACGACCCCTGTAAATGCACTAGTAGTCTGGTATTCACTTTACTGACATAAATGTAATGTATAAAATAATCTATTTCATCTGCCTTCTCAGTAAAGGAAAATGCGTTCTCATTTGCATATTTTGCCATGTCCATGTACAGTAGCTAAAACAACTATCTGTGCAGGTGGGGGTTGATATGCTCCGAAATTTTACGTGTGACTAGTGACAGCCCTCATATACTAAAATTACATTTCAGTAATAGTACATTATGCAAAAACAAAATTTTAAAAGATCAGAATCACATTGAAATATTACACGACCGTTAGCAGAGGCAGGAAAAATATGAAGTAGTTCGCAGTCATATTTCCCGCCTCTGCTGACGGCCGTGTAATATTTCAATGTGATTCTGATCTTTTGAAATGTTGTTTTTGCATAATGTACTACAGTATTGTTGATAAGTAATTTGTCTTGGTATGACTTATTGTGGGTAAAAATAAATATATATTAAATGCATCCTCCGAAAGCGTGAATTTGCTACCCGAGTTTATCAGTTAATTCACGTATAATACTTCTGATAAACTTACTACGTGCTCCTGTTTGAAATAATTTAGTTAAATAGCTTTCTCGTTAGAAACGGTCATTATGAATGAACTCATTTAGAAATACATCATTACTCAGGACAAAATCGGACAGGTTTGCAACAGCCAATCAGCTGTAACTCTTGAGGAGGGGGCGGGGCATCTTTTCTCAGCTGGGAAAAATGCACTGTAGATGTTGGAGTTGGTCCTGAGTATGTTTTCCTTGGTATGAATTGAATTAGAATGATGGGAAATACTGTAAATGTTACTGTATATAATATTATCTTTTAGGAGATATTGTATGTTCATTTATGGTCCTGCATTATAAATCATGGAAGAACTCTTAAAGGAGCCTGTTAAATGTCCTGGGTAGGTTTGGACTGGTCAAAGAATGCAGTAATGAGTGGAGACAACCTAGTTCTTCCCATAAAATTTACATGTACCTTCCCCCTAGAAGATCTATTTTATAATGGATCCAAAAACCAATGACTCAAATACCCTCCCTCCACCTCCCAGTGGGTAGTGGGAAGAATACTGGGAAGTAAGGATTAGCACCAGAAATATAATAAAGTTGACCTGTAACAACAGCTGAATGGCATGGTGCAAATGCCTTGGTGTGATGTTATGACTCCAACTTGTTGAACTTATTGATTTAATGGTAATTGTTGACTCCAGTTGCACAATCACTTTTTATCAGTGGTGGTGCAACAGAGATTAAAACTGATCATCAAATTAGTTCCTAGTCTTTAATGTCTACAGGGTTTAATAAATGTATTTTACTGCCACTTGGTTGTAGACTTGGTAATAAAATGGGATTTCAGGGCCTTTACTGTATGCTATTTATTAATGCAGTATTGTACTGTAATTCTGCTTTAATCCATTATTTGTAATTTTATACAATATTTGGATGTCGAAATTGCACAAACAAAACAAGAATCAAATATATTTTATTCTTTTCAGGTCATTAGACATTATCATGGTCATCTGAGTGCCTGTTATGGGTTGGCATTACATCCCACAATTGACGTCCTGGTAACTTGTGGGAGAGATTCTACAGCACGTGTGTGGGACCTGAGGACCAAAGCAAACATTCACACCTTGACTGGTCACACAAATACTATTGCATCTGTTGTTTGTCAGGCAGCTGAGCCCCAGGTTAGTTTAGGTGACTGCAAAAAATATTTAGAGATTATTTATAATGCAGTACTGTACTGTACTGTATATTACATGGTTCAAATTCAACGTCAGGTTGTGCTTGTTATACAGTATTTCAGAAGCCCTTGTTTTATAGTTCCACCATCGTGGGGCATCCATGTTCATTCAGCATCATCATTAATATTTTACAGCAATTTTTCACACTTGCATAGGTTAGTCTTATGCTAATATAAATTATTACTCCATGTTTATAGTACATGTAGCTACTAATGACGAAAATGATTCCGGGACTTAGAAACCTTCCATATCAGGATAGGTTAAAGAAACTAAACTTGCATTCCCTAGAAAGACGAAGAGTGCGGGGAGATATGATAGAAGTATTTAAGTGGATGAAAGGAATCAATAAAGGGGATGTAGATAAAGTTCTTATAATATCCGAGCAGGATAGGACTCGGAGCAATGGACTTAAGTTGGATAAGTTTAGGTTTAGGAGGGAGATAGGAAGGAACTGGTTCACAAATAGGGTGGTGGACGAGTGGAACAAGCTTAGCAACTTTGTAGTAAGTGCTGGAACGCTGGAAAGCTTCAAAAGGAGGCTGGATAGATTCATGGATGATAGAGAGTGGTAGTAACTCTCGACAGGAGCTGCCATGCACAGGCCAACCGGCCTATTGCAGACTCCTTATGTTCTTATGTTCTCATATAAAAGTTAATACCTCGAGTGTATATGTGTATTCATTTACTATTTGGTTACCATATTGCTTTTAGTGCTGATTTTTTTTTTTTTTTTTATGCTTTTTATTTATATATTTATTTATTTTTACTGGTATTAGCCCACCCGGGCACAGGTCACTGACCCACATCCCGGCCTGGGGATGAAAATGTAATAATTTTACTAATAATAATAATAATAGTAATTCATAATAATTAAAATTTATAATAATAATAAAAATAAACATAATAAAATATTAATAATAATATTAAAGATGTACAAAAATGAAGAAAAACAAGACCAAGAGTGAGAAGCAATATATGTATGTTGTATTGTCAATAGTAAGAGAAACAATTGAGACCCTGCAATTGTGTGTAAATGAGACAGAAACTCAGATCAGCAACCTGGGAATTGTCACAATTTTTGTGATGCCATATGGCAGCAGGGACTACCTTTAGACAACACATTATGCTTCCAATATCTTCCCAGGTGGTAGTACCTCCCTGTTTGGTAGCTACCTACAAATACATATACCTGTACTGTATTGATATTTACATTTGGCAATTGGAATTAAGATAAAAGATTACAATTTGGTTATATCAAGAGTCTCTTTTACAGGAAGTTTATCATTTTAAATGCTTGCTTGTCTTCATGTGCATAGGCATGTGTGTTTTCATATGTGTACATCAATATGTGCATAGATCTTCTTGTTTATAAATATATAGATATGATTTACTAAACTTTTCAACAGGTTGTGACTGGGTCTCATGATTTTACTATACGTTTGTGGGATTTGGCTGCTGGTAAGAGCACTTGTACTCTCACCCACCACAAGAAGAGTGTACGGTCTCTGGCCGTGCATCCAGAACTGTACATGTTTGCTTCTGGAGCACCTGACAATATTAAACAATGGAAATGTCCTGAAGGAAAATTTGTGCAGGTAAGATTTTGTCTAAATCCTGGTACATTAATATTGAATATAATAATGTAAGAAATCATAGAGAATGAAAAGGAAGCCATAAAAAAAAAGGAGCCGGTTGAAGAATTTGGAAGGAAATTGAAATTTCACATCAGTGGAAGAATATGAAGTAGCATAAGTGATGGTGATTCATTTTGTCGTAAGCATCAGAAGTTTAGGTGAAAAATAATCTTTTTGACTTTAACTCAAATTTAGCAAAACAAAGTAAAACAACACTTTAGCATTTCTTCTGTTTCCATATCTCTTCAGTTTGCTCATTAAGTTAATTCATCTCTGAGATTTCTGTCTTTACTCACTCATCCACGTTCATAAACAGTTAGTATCCATTGTGCTTAGTCTCTTGTCTTTATATTTGTGCCTCCTTCACTTGTCTTTACCTTACCCAAGCCTGTACAGTCAACCATATAATGTATAGTAAAGTCTTATTCTCAGGTGTAATGCACAATAATGGTAACAGCATATCTTTGAATTATTTGCATAGTTATAATACCATTCACTCTCATATATGAGCTAATTTCCCAATAAGATTTCTTTAACAACTAATAAAACACATAAGTAAAAACTAACATGGAATCTTACTTAGGATTCACCCTCTTGGCTATTCCCAGTCGCTGTAGTGACACATATTATCTGTAGGTAAACGTCTTTCTCTTTGTAAAATTTTGCCATTATATGATAAAGTCAGTTAATTCTCAAGTATCAGTGCTAATTTTGTATGGTATCTGTGATTATACCCATTTTTACAGAACCTGATAGGTCACAATGCCATTGTCAACTGTCTCGCGATGAACCGTGAAGGAGTGCTGGTGTCAGGGGCAGACAATGGCACACTCTATTTCTGGGACTGGCGTACAGGTTACAACTTCCAGAAACTCCAGGCGCCAGTACAACCAGGTAAGAAGACACAACCTGGTACATATTCTATTTAACCATATATTTCACAATTAAAGAAGCTTTAGTAATATTTTTAGACACCGTAGCAGGGATACATTTTGCCCCACTGTCATTAGACTTGTTCAACCATGCCTGTCAATAGAGTGTCCACTTATCTCATATTATGGGACAGTAGACACTTCAGTATTTTTATTTCATTATTTTGCAACGCCCTAAATTACTCCTATTTTTCATTAATGTGCTGTCAGGCTCCTTTATTTTGCAATGTAAAATCAGAAAATTAAATTGTAGTAAATGGACCATTAAATTTATCAATTGATGTCAAATGTTTAGTGTGCAGTACAGGGTATTTTGTATTGTGACCAAATATATCTCTAGAACAGACTGTACTCTGAGCAAAAATAGAAATGAAGATAAAGTCGATGCATTTACTATTGATGAAAAAATTACAAGTTAATAAAACTTACCTTCCATTTTGAGCTGTTAGATACACATTCTTGACCCATGATAGACCAAAGTGCCCTGAAACTTAGCAGTGTACACATAAAACAAATCAGCACAATAAAAATTCACAGATAATTCCTGACCATTAAATTGCACTTCTTATATGGTAATGCATACGCACACTCACATTTACCCTTCATTCGTACTTCCCTTGAGGGGATGGACATTTGGGAAGTAGCAAGTGTAAATAATCAGAAAGCATGTTATTGAGTGATTTATAGAGTAGGACATGCTGCTTATAGATGATGATGGCTTGTGTAAGGAAACCGAGTAAACCAGATTTATTCCTCCTATGTAGAAGGGAATTTACCATAGTAAAACATATCTTTTACAGCAGTAACAATGAGTGAAGGAAAAATTTGCATGTTTTCTTGTTCTTGGCCACCCTGCTCTATATGGGAAAAGCACAAGATTAGAAAGAGTGAAAGTATTGTTATGAAATATTTTGTAAGACTGTTGACTTTTTCTAACACTGCATCCAGTGTTATTGAGTAAATAAAGAAAATGTTTACCAGTACAGTACATTATACATTTAGGGTAAGGTGACCAGCAGGTCATTGGTCCCAGATTAAAATTCTGGGTAAGGAAGCAACATGTGATTGATATACAGTACTAGCCAGTACTTGCAGTATAACTATATCCCAACAGGTTGTGCTCTGTTAGACAAACTGGCTTGCAGATTGTGGCGGGATATATCCCTACCGTATCATAACCTGCCACTTATATGTGAAACTATCAAAACAACCAGTGTGATAGAATTAATAAACAAATAAAGTTCAGTACAGTATATAATGTCACCTTTGTGTTCTAATGATTATTGTTAAAAGTTTGTTTTTGTCTGAGCACATTTTATGTGGTAAATACCAGTATGTAGATTTAAATTAGGAAGCCACAATGTGTTACGCCAAAACATGTTGCCTTTATACCTTTTCACTCTTAATTTTGAGGACAGCATTAGCGGTTTAAGTGTATTTTGTATTTTTTTTTTTTTTATTCTATACAGAGAAAAGACTCATCCGTATACTGTACATATTGAGAGTTAAGAATGTAAATGAAGAGGATTCAATAATATGTCTTCCTCAGGTTCAATGGACAGTGAAGCAGGTGTGTTTGCCATGACTTTTGATCAGAGTGGCTCACGACTGATCACCTGTGATGCTGATAAGACCATCAAAATTTACAAGGAAGATGACACTGCTGTAAGTATTATCATCATCATTATCTCCAGGTTGCCATCATTTATACTAGCTTAAGCATATTTGACATAAATTAAGATAGATTTCTTTAGTCAAAGGGGGGACTACATTCTCATCCACAGTCCCACATTTGGTGATAACTTTGTACAGTATTAAGTTGTCATACATAATTTAATAGCAGTTTAATTACTAACTCCTGTATATTTTATTTAATTAATATTACCACTGAGTATATTCTACTCTCTAATACATTCTGTTGTTTTCTGCATGAGTAGAGGCTGGTGTTGGGTGTGTGTAGAGAACTACTGTACATGGCTCATCAGTAGCTTCATGTAACAGATATTGTCCACCTCAAATACAGCGGGGTCTCATTTTATGCAGTTCTCGTGTATGCAGTTCTCGCTTTTGTGATTTGTTGAAGTGTGGCCAGTGTTGTAACTTGAGTGGAAAGCCATTAAGTGCGGGTAATGGTATAGCATTAATTTTAGTGATCATTTGCTTATTTAGGTCAATTCAACAAAAAAGGGGGGCTCTGGGTCACTCGAATTACCGAAAATTCCGGTGCTTGAGAGATGTTTAATGCTGATAACATTGTTAGAGAGAGCAGGAACAATCAGCTAAAACCACTCTGCACTGTAAATAAGAGACCGCAATAGCTCATCTGGGATTGAGTGTTGGACTCAGCTATTCAGTGAGAGCATTATTACTGACCCATTCTGGACTCAGACATTCAGTGAGAGCAATCAGATCATTGACCTGTCACCCAGTAAGTGATCTACCTCCTCACCCTACAGTCCATCACTTAACTTTGGGTTAACTCTGGGGCCCAGCATCCTAGGTGGAAAATTCTCTCCGTTTATATAACTGTTCTTATTGACTCAAAACAACGAGTTGGCTTATTTTATATTATGTCATTACAGATGCAATCTCATTCATATTTATTAGATGTATTTTGAGCCAGTTGTTGCCTAACCCTTTGGCTCCTGAATATTTCCCTGAGGTAAAGTCTAAAGTGTGACAATTGGCGGTAGAGGGTTAAATAGGATGAACTTCAGAGACTGTGTATATTAGTTTGTTTCTTGAGATGAGCCACTAAGTTGTAAGCAGGTACTTTACAATTTAGACAGTCATAGTGACTTGCCTTTTGAATTGATGTTACCTCTGTAAAATATTTTTATTGTAATTTATTTATTTATTTGATTTGCTGTTTCTGTGAGGAGAAATGACCTCTTCCCTAATAACTGAGGATGGCTTTTAAATTCTGAACTCAAGGCAGTGTTGGATGAAAGTACTCAGGCTAACAAGAGATCAGACCTCATTATGCCCACTGTCCTTGAGACTAATGTAATGGACTCTTCAGATTCCTTGACTTACATTCATGGTTCAAATGGAACTTATTCTCCTGGAAGACGTAAAAACTTCCAATTCTCACTTGGATTAGGTTTTTGATACTGACACAGGCTCTCCCTGAACCTCCCCAGTTCTGTTACATTAACTGATACAGATGTAGACCCTCCATGTAAGGAGATCTGGACGTTGTTGTATTTCTTATGGATTTTGTTGTAGATGATAGTGTGAGAATGGAAGCCATTGGCCATCTCATGATACCTTTCCTTGTATGTGGATTCAGGAAAGCCAGACTCCTGTCATTAAGAGGACAATACAGTACCATTATCAGTGGAAACCATGAACGCTGAGATTCAAACTCATGAATCCGAAGTATGTATGGACAGAATAATGTATCAGTGTCATGCTTTGGGTTCACGAGTCTGAATCTTGGGGTTCGTAATGCAGAGGGAGAGGCGAATGGACTTTACTAGTTGACTGTTCTTGTCCCAATACAGAAATTCATTATCAGGTAGATGCGGAAATTTTCATAACTATGGTTTGTTGTGAAACCCGTTAATGCAGTGTTTGATTTTCTATTTTGAAATAAAAAATTCTGATGTTTGAGTTTGACCAGGATCCCTTTATTCCTTAGCTCTGGATTGCAGCCTAGGTAATAGGCATTTGTAGTGCCATTTCAAACAGAGTTTTACTTCAAGGTTTTTAATGAACACGGACAATCATGTTGCTGCTTGGAAATTTGCTTTGGGAAGAATCTCTTATTGGACACTTCTCTGCTACATGCTTTCTTACTGACTTTCAGACCAATTTGATAAAATGATAGACAAGATTTTTCCAACTCCATCATTAAGAAAATATGATTGGATCTGTAGGTGACCAAAAATAATTGTGCTTTCATGTCAAATCCAAAATATGAATTAAAGCATTTACCACTAAAAGCTGAAAGCAGGGAGTCTTGCTATCTCACTAGCACTAGTGCACTCTACTACTCTGTTTATGATAAGCTGCATAGCCTCACATTTTCCTCCACTGAGAATGTATGTTATCTATGATATATTTAGTACATGTTTATTCACAGTCACAAGTAATTAAAGTATGATACTACAGTACTAATATAAATTCCTTCTTATTTTTCAGTCTGAAGAAACACATCCAGTCAACTGGAGACCAGAAATCTTGAAGAGACGAAAGTACTAGGTTGTGTAGTGAACCTGAAGAGGGAGACAATTCCTGCACCATGGAGATTAGCATTTTAATGCTCTATCACAGAAAAATATGTTTTAATAATTTTATTGTTCTTCTGGGTTTTTTTATAAAGAAAATAATGAAATATAAATTTGCTGTAATTATGCTTTCATCAGAAGCTTGTGGTTTGGGAACATCAGCAATTTTTTAAATTCACGGACAATGTAACATGATGTTTACCACATTGGACTTGGAGATACAAGATTTTTATGAGTGTTGTGACATTTAGTCTCTCAAGAATTTCTTCTTCTTTTTTGTAGCTGTATGTATAGTAGGCATTGATGAACCATTCTTATTATGATTCGTATTGACTTGCTGATTTAATAGTTACTTTGAAACTACAGTACGTAGTAGTATTTCTAGGTGATTTCAATAGTTTAAAGATGTGTAGAATTATCGTACAACAATATGTTTTTAAAGAAACTTGTGATCTGGAGTTCTTGTCTTTCATTTCAATCTGGATGTAAATCACAAGGTTTAGACTTTTTGGGAGAGGGGATACAGAAGAGGGACATCAGGTATGCAAGAGATACATGTTTACTGTACAAAGTTAATTGTCCTAAATTTTGTGGTTGCATCATGCTCCCATACTCATATGAGAATATTAAGGATGGGGAGAAACAAAGTACAGTACTGTATGTAAATATTAAAGTGAAAATTACCTCTTTACTCCTCATATAACACTATTCAACTAAGTTACCTAACATGACATATGAAGGAAAGATAACTTAGTGCTCTGTGTTGAGGTGATGGTGAGGTGTTGAAGGCTGATCATATACTAAAATGGCCGCCTTTCTCATTATGTCATTTTCGGGTGTTCAATCCTTATAACAGTTTCCTCGGCTTTCACCGATGTTCTTGCAACTTCTGTTGTACACGATGAAGTTTTCTGTAGGTTAGCAGTACAAATGTGAATACTGAAAAGCGTGACAATTGAAAATTGACCGCGGATTGCGTTGGAAAAGATGTCTACAGATCCAAACTTAGGACTGCACTGACTCAATTGAGAGCTGGGAGTAGTCGTCTGCTTTATCGAGTCAACGTCTACCAGCAAATTCTTAGATCCACACAAAAAGTAATTCTAATATTAATGAATGTTAATAAGTGAATATGAGTACCTGTATATACAGTACAGTATATATAATGAATTTTAATAGTAATTAAATAGTAAATGATACGTATTTACAAGAATGAAACATACAAATTAATATGATCCGTTCACCTAAAGTGTTAACACACTCAGACCCTACCTCAGGGGTGCCGGTTTATGCAAAATGGTGGGATGTTTCCTACACTAATGATATCCCATTTTACTACTAAGCCAGGATCAGGGCACCAAACATACAGTGTCGCTGTTCCAATATACAGATTGTAAAGCTAGTTTTATTCCCCAACATTATTGATAGAGTAAGTTCATTGCTCAGGTTATACCTTCCTGACCAATACAGTACAGGCTAAAAGCTGAGTATCCCCAGCATGTGCTCTCCTCAACCCTCATTTTTCCTTTGTTACAAACCATCTTTTCACAGGTTAACCCCCAGGTCCATGTTACTTGGAGAAGGGTAGATTACTTGAGTTTCCTGATGAAGGTTTAGTTATAAAATGGGATGGAAATAAAGAAATAAACCATAAAAATTCTTTAGTACACAGTCCTTCTCAAACCTTGTAGTAGTTAATATAAGCTTTGTGAATTAAATGATGTTCATCTGTGCATGCACAGGTGAGTGGAGCATACTGGGTTGGCCACCCCTGCTGACCCAGGCCTTCTCCCTCTGTCTTGTACCAGCCTTGATCGAGGATAAATGTCTCTCTCTCTCTCTCTTTCTCTTTTTGAACCATGTGGTTTAAGGTTTGTGTATCCTTTCCTAAGGAATGTTAGGTGGGAGTCAGGATGTGCATTTGTATTATGTCTTGTACCTTTTATTTGTAAATATATGTAAATTATAGGTAGTAGGTATTAGGCAGCTATCAAACAGGGAGGTACTACTGCCTGGGAAGATATTGGAAGCATAATGTGTTAGTCTAATGGTAGACCCTGCTGCCATATGGCATCACAAAAATTGTGACCAAGTCCCAGGTTGCTGATCTGACTTTCTGTCTCATTTACACACAATTGTAGGGTCTCAATTGTTTCTTTTACTCTTGACAAAACAACATACCTGTACATATTATATCATTTCTCACTAAATCATTTGTATTTATTTTTGGTTATTTTTTATTATACTTTTTATTTATTTTTTTAGTTTTTATTATTATTATTATTATTATTATCAGGCCCGTCCTTTAGGGGAGGCGAACAGGGGCGACCGCCTGGGGCCCCGCGGGACCCAGCACTAGACCCAGTGACCTCGGACACATCACCTGTTGACTGGTTAATCTGACCTGACGGCTTACGCCACCATCGCAAGCATGACCTTACCATCCATAGCGACAGTCCCATGGCGGTTGGTGGGGCCCCGCAGTGGCTGAGTTGCCCCGGGCCCTGCACCCTCCTAGGGATGGCCCTGATTATTATTATATTTTCAGCCCCAGGCACCATGCGGGTTACTGACTTGTGCCCAGGTGAGCTAATACCCAGTAGATTTATCTAGGTGTTACTATTGGTCCTTTTTACACAAGATTTTATTCTTCACCCATGTCTGAGTATTTGGGAACAACTAAAGAGTATATCATGAAGCCTACTCTACTTAAAACCGAAATAACAATATGACTTGTACAACACTATCACCCTTATTATTAAACAACATCTTTCCTTGAAGAGGGTCGTCGTGTTTCAACCCGAGTTTTAAAATAAATGAGTCCTGAGGGACACCGCAATACAGTACTTAACGGGGTGGTGTGGCGGTAAAATTAACTAATTCCAATACCTGTATTCTAAATTAATTTTACTGGAATTAGTTAATTTTACCGCCACACCACCCCGTTAAGTGCTGTATTGCGGTGTCCCTCAGGACTCATTTATTTTAAAACTCGGGTTGAAACACGACGACCCTCTTCAAGGGAAATGTTGTTTAATAATACGGGCGTATATATTTTGGGTGAGGAGACACAGGATTGTGACACCAAACACAAGCACCACCTTCCCAACCTAAACCTAGGCTGGCAAAAATCAATGGTTATGTAGTAAAGAAAGTCTTTCAATTGAGTCAGCAGATCTCCCATGGACTCGTTCATAAAATTCGAGGATGGCTTGCAAGGACAACTTCTTCATTATTGGATTAAATATTTTAAAAACCTATTCATAGGTTATGAGGCATTAATAAACCATAAGGGTATCTGTTGTGGAAGGTGAGAACCATATTAGTATACACTTATTGCAGCAGTATGAATGAATTACCTATACCTAGAGATTTTATGAACATGTTTGTTCTTCATTCTTATTACTGTAAAAAATAGGAATATGATTGAGAGATCAAGTGATTTAAGTGGTTAATAATATTGTACTATGGTAGGTCTACAGCATATTGGTAAGCAAGAGGTTCTTGTGAGACTCAGTACAGTACCCTCAGTCATTTCTCATTTTATATTCCCTTTTCTTATTTTTCATTGGATATGAATAGTTTAATGTTTGAATTAATTTTATTAACAAGCATTACAAGTTGCAGAAAACATCCATTAAAGTGTAAAGTACAGTAGTCAATAACTGTGACAGGCTGGAATTTTCTTATTTTCTGGTTGAAAAATGAATGATGAAAATATATTGGCAAATTTACTATAGTTTTGGAATACTGCACCCATAATAAACTGTCATGTGCTGTATGTAGGTGCTGTTTGTTGAAACGATCTCCGCATTTACACATAGCAGAAAAAGTTTCCAACAAGCCAATATTCAACCATTTTTTCGTATTAAAAAAATATTAGACTTGTTTTGGGGGATTTTTACCTAATACAGTCAACTTTGTAGTATTTATTTTATGCTAGATTTACTACATTATCTAGACTCCATTGAATGGCAGAATTATATACAATACAGGATAGTTATTATTAAGCCTCATGCAAAAAAAATGACTGCAGTGTCTGAAAAGTCTCGCCATATCGTTTGACCAGTTTTATCAAAATTGTTAGGGGCATCATATTCACTTAAAACAATACCTTTGTCATTTAGGATGAGGCAGGATCATGTGCAGTAGAGTATGGTGGATCTGGTGGTGACATGGGAGTTAGAAGGGGCGGAGGTGGCACAATATGGCCATGTGTGGGCGGTGTGAGAGGGTAATAGGGTCCCAAAATAGGAGGGATTGGTGGTAGAGCTGGGTAAAGATGTGGTGGAAGGAGTCCTTGACGTTGAGCCAACCGCATCCTTGCAGCCATTTGTTTCTTCCACTTCGTGCGTCTGTTTTGGAACCATGTCTTTATTTGAGTTTCGGTTAGGGAGAGTGCTTGAGATAGCTCCAGCCTCTTTGACACACTGAGATACTTGTCTATCTGTTGGGAAAAAAATAAGTACCTATATTAGTGGATAGATATTTGTTTTGTCAGGGTGGGGGTTATTGTATATTATAATTCTTGGTACCCATGGACAGCTGTGAGAACTAAGTCATTGTGCAAACTGAAATGATAATGAGTTCTGTGTATGGAATCTTAGTTTGTGTTACTGTACAGTACTACAGTACCTGTATTCTTATACTGTATCAATGAATTTATCTTATATCATTTAACATTGTTTTTGTTAGATCTTGACTCCACCAGATATAACATGCCGGGCCAAAAGATGGTACATTCTCTTATTTCCGACCCTTAAATTCAGTTTCACCAACTGCAACAGCTATGCCATGTTGAAAACAGCTTTTTGCCCAGTCAGTAAAGTTAAGCAACATTAGGACTGGTTAGTACTTGGATGGGTGACCGCCTGAGAACACCAGATACTGTATTCATTTAAACTAGAAGGACCCGAATGTAAATAAGCATTTTGTGGTTTTGTCGGCTATCCTTGGTCAATTTGTCTAAATATCAATAACTGTAGGTTGCCATACGTCTGTATTTTTCCGGACATGTCCTCCATTTAGGTCTCGAAATCTTCATCCGGAAGTAATTTTTAAAATTCTTCAAAAGTCCGGAATTTCAGCTTCCATCATTTTCTCCACGGAAAAAAACATGAAACTGTAATGACGAGAGAGGGAGACTGAGAGAGAGGGGAGGTGGAAACCGTAGAGATCTCGTTCAGTTTTCGTCAGCTGATAAGTCATGTGTACGCCTGTACGGTGTTGTCAACTTAGCTGTCAAATATTTGATTGATAAGGGGGTAGAAGTTGATGATGTGAAGTGTTTTGACCAAGTTAGTAACATGAAGCAGTTTGTGGAAAATTACAAGAGTTATGAAGAATTTAGTAATCTGCCAACACATAAAAAGTGGACCAGATACTTTGAAAAATCAAAGAACATTGAATGCCACTCAGAATTGCTAAGAATTGCACAATTCTTCTTTGCTACATCATCTCACTGCAAATGTAGAAAGAGTTTTTTCACTGATGCAAAGTTAATGGACAAAGGAAAGGAACAAATTGAGTGTTGAAACAATGAAAGGCATTCTGACTGTACAGTACAACTTCCGAGAAACATCTTGCAGTGACTTCTATACCTTTCTAAAGAGCAATCAGCCAATACTGAAAAAGATCCGATCTACAGAAAAGTATGCATGGGCACATCAAGTCACACACCCAGTGGGGGGAAAAGACTGCAGCTAAGGGAATGAAGATATTCAGCCTTAAGCAAAGGTCCTTTTTTTTTTTTTTAGATTTCTATACCATGTATGTTGTATATTAGCCTACATTAAAAACACAATGCTAATATGCAAAATTAATTGTCACGGCTGCTTCAAGGTTACATAGCGCCAAAGTGTGTGCCGGGCGGGCGGAGGGAGGGGGGGATGTCTTCCGGGGTGTCCTCTGTTTTTAATGTTCAGATATGGCAACCCTACAATAACAGGCATCATCATCTTCATTAGTAGCAGTAGTAGTATTGCACTATTAAAGAATGTATATATTATCAGCCTCAGCTTATGTGCTGATCATCTGATTCTGACCCAATATTGTGGTTATCAACCATCTCCGTACTGTCAGTTTGAGTGATGGAAATTTCTCACCATCAAAACAAGTATAGTACTCTATTACAAACTCAATAATCCAATACCGTCAGTCATCTCACGGAATCTCGCCAACTTAAGGCTTTCCAGGCGTGGATGACCAACAAGTCAATCAACTTTAAAGTGGTGTCGCACTAGCATTTATTTGTGTCAAATCTCCTATTTTCGTTTATTTCCTCAAGTTGTCATCTTAAACTTTTTCTCAGTCACGATAAAGAACTAAATTTTATTAGAAACGTTTTCGCTATCTAATTTTAGTAAGTTTCTTAAGTGGTAATTTTTTTACTGGTGATCTTAAATGCAGTAGTGTTCATTTGATGTTTGTTTACATTAGAAGCGCCTGAGTTTACAATAATTAAGACGAACACGAAATGACATTAGATCTACTCCATATGTTTGAGGCAGGGTGCTCTCAGAAGAATGACAATCCTTAGGGAAATTTATTCAAGAAAATTATTTAAAAAGTGCTAGTGTGACGCCATCTTAGGGTGATAAGTACAATACATGAGTGTTCTTGCATGAAACTGTCAGAATTCGCAGCTCGTGTCAGGTAAGACTTCTCTAATTTACGTAGTTTTAGTTTATTTGTATCATCGACCCTACCCACTACAGAATACAATTTGGTGTTGGCAGTGATAAACGAGACTAGCAAGTTTTCTAATTATGTCTTAAAATAGGTTTGGTTTGTTGTAGGTCATCGGTAATGGAGACCCGAAAAGCCTCCATGAGAGATTTTTGTTCACAAGTTGGAAACACTGGGAAGGGACACAGTTTGTAGTTTGTTTTGTTTTGTTTCCGGAAATTTAGTTTGTTTTACTCCCCAGCCGAATTTGTATTGAAACGAACATAAAATAAGTACAGTAGGCGACTTGTTTAAAAAATAGGTATTAACAGGGTGTTCAAGTGTTCTTTTGGCTGGCCTTAAATCTTTTTAAAAAGTATTGTTCTTAATACATAATTTTCAACTTTTCATTTGGCTAGTCGAGAAACAGTCCAAACAATATTCTTATAAAAGGAGGTGGAGTTTTGCTTGTTTTGACACTTTTACTGAACGTCTCAACAATGAAGGGTCTAGTTGAGAGCTATACAGCACACTCCTCTTGTCACAATAAGATGTTAACTATAATATTATGGCTATTCTTATTTTTAGGGACAACTATTAATTTTTGGAGTTGAGAACCCAACGTAAGGAGGATAACCGAGACCTTTTTAAGTCACTGAAACCATGATCACTTAAGTAATCCCTTAAACAGGTCTAATCATCATGAAATACGACCATACACTGAGAAGGGCCTGGTCGAGTGAACATGTACACAAACTGTTCATAACGCTGCTTCCTTTCTTCCAGGTACCAACAAATGCTGACACTCGACATATGTGGCACCTTACATTCATGACGCAAGTGAACTGATACTTGTGGTACTCACTTTGAATTCTGCCTCAAGTCGCTCCAGCTGTTTCGCACTGTAGGCTTGACGTGGTTTGCGGTCGACCCCTGGCTTCCTGGACCTTCGACCTGTAGGCCGCGGCGCTGTAACACACATCATCAGGTATGTTATGGTTATTAAAGGAACAGGGTAACAAGTAAACAAGATATGGTAAGGCAATTTCTTTCAGATTTGTGGTACATAATTACATATTGTAATTAATCTAAATTTATAGCAAGACTACACCCTACTACCTGCGAGATGCATTAGATCAGGCAGTAAAATGAATCAGGCGTTTATTCAACTGTCGAACTTCTTTGATGTTTGGAAAGTTACGCAGTTGATTGAAAAGTAAGCATTTACGACCCATGTGAAATTCAATACATCTGTAAAGACGTTCACCCACCGACCCGTGACCATAAATGGCTAGCAGGGCTTCACATATTATATGTTAAGAATTTGCAAGCGTTTCAGAGCAATATTCTTTTAAAAAACAGGCTTACAATAACCTAGATAGTGCGATATTGGTTCGATTTTTTTTTTTTAACGTGATTGAGACTTGTTCAGATCTATTCTACTTCGATAAACTTGCATACTATGCATTGCATTGTCGGCTGGTAAGCTAATACGTGGCGAAGTGCATAAGTAGGTAACTAAATCGGTGTCACCCGTCAAAGCTAGCAGGATTTACACGAAGGTAGTTCACACACCTAGATGGTCCGTCCCTCATAACGCTCTTCAGAAGTGAGGTGCTTCCTTGTTTGGAGTACGATCATCCTGTCTGGTCTCAGAGATAGACTAGAGACTGTCAGTTGACTGAAAATGTCCAAAAAGAGACATCAGACTGGTGCCTGCACTCCGGCACTTCCAAATGTTGCGATGTTACCGAGCTTGAATTAACCAAAACTGGCGCAGGTACAGATACATTTTGGAGCCAGTACTTGCCAACAACGCCTAACGTCACTGACTGCCCAAGCGGTTAACAAGCCGATCAATGGCGAAGAGGCTGAAGTATAAAGTGCCACCACGTCCCCACAACAAAACCATCCTACGTTACCTTCGCCTACGGTGATATTACCATCCCACACCACCCTGCCATCGTTAATCACAGCACCACTACCTCCCCACCATTCCTAAACACAATTACCACCCCACCATCGCTAAACAATCAACATGACCACCCTACATCACATCACCATTACCACCCCACATCACACCACCGTCGCTAAACACACAACTATTACCTCCACTGTACCAACACATCATACTACCATCATACCTTAACACACCTCACCTACCACCACTACCACAACATAATACATCTCACCTTCCATCACCACCATCACCACAAAAACAACAATACCTGCCCCCACCACAACAACACCTGCCATAATCACCACTACCACCACACCTGCCATAATCACCACTACCACCACACCTGCCATAATCACCAACCACCACACCTGCCATAATCACCACTACCTGCCCCCACCGCAACAACACCTGCCATAATCACCACTACCACCACACCTGCCATAATCACCACTACCACCACACCTGCCATAATCACCACTACCACCACACCGCCGCCACCACAGCAACATCACCTGCCACCACCTGCCACCTTCACAAGTCACTATCTCAACAGCGTCATTAACACAGGAAACTCATATACCTGAGACGTGATAAAGTTTTGCCTCGTCACTCATTAACAGACACAGTTTAAAATTTAAGTCTCCCCTATAAAGACATAGACTTGTTTGCTTTTGTTACGTTTTCTTTCATTTCTCTAAAATTTATGAGACTTTTTTTCATATTTCCCGACAATGGAGCATAAACTTTGATAATTTGTTATAGGTGAGTAAGAATGTGTTTTGTGTATACTGTAGTGTTGATTTGTGTGTGTTTAAATACCGGTTATATTGTCATTTTTTTTTATCGTTCTCAAACTTACTAGGCATTGTTCTCACACTGTTAAAACTAATATATCGTTCATTGATGTTTATAATGTTTTTTTTTTATCGTTCATAGGTCACATTACAAAGGTTTTATTTCTTGGACTTACTGTAAATATTGCTCAGTGGAAGAGGAGGAAGGGGTGTGTGTGTGTGTGTGTCTCCAGTAAACATCACGCCGCCGGGCCGACAACTCCTAGAGCCTGGGCGTTTATAACTCTGCTCCCTCCCCGTTGACACATCATATTTGTATCCCAGTGACACCTCCCTCTTCCCCCTTCCCCTTCTACCACCTCCCACTCCCCCCTTCCCCTTCTACCACCTCCCACTCCCCCCTTCCCCCCCTTCTACCACCTCTCACTCCCCTCTCGCCCCCTTCTACCACCTCCCACTACCTACCACAATTCTCATCCCTGTACCGTCCATAACCTTACTTTCACCATTTACACCACTGCCACAACTCACACCCATGCACCCCTACCACCACCTACCACACCTCAAACGTACCCTCCCCACCACCACCTACCACCTACCACAATTCACCCTCTATGTACAGAGAACTAAGTAAACAATATTATTTTAAATTCTGTGTAACATTCAATGCCATGATATCCTGATCACCCTTTGTGACTTCTACTCTGTAATCCTTTTGTCCTACCGCTCACAGGATGAGTATGGGTGCACTATAAACTAGCAGCAGTATGTGGCAAAATTAATGAAAAATTAATTTCTCAGCATCTATCACCAACAACAATCACAGTACACACCCTAACACCACCTCTTAACCACCACAATTAACACCTCTTATAACCACAACTCTCACTATCACCACCACCACCTATCACAATTCTCACTACGAACCACCTACCACAACTCTTCACTCCTCCCACTACCACAATCCTCACTCCCATCTCCCATCCACCTACCACAACTCTTCACTCCTCCCACTACCACAATCCTCACTCCCATCTCCCATCCACCTACCACCACCTACCACAACTCTTCACTCCTCCCACTACCACAATTCTCACTCCCACCACCCACCCACCTACCACAATTCACAACCCCCTACCACCATCATCACCTTCAGTAATATACGGTACGTCCCCTTAACATCAATGGGGAATAGTAAGTAATTTGGGGTGCCATTTACTATCCCTTAAGCCAACCAGTTTAATACAGTCTTAGGTATATTTTATCTTGAGTTGGTGAGCTAAGTAGTATTTTTCCTCCTGGGTGATGTGAATTAGCTGAGGATACCTTAAACAATAGTGAATTAGCTGAGGATTAAACAATAGTGAATTAGCTGAGGATACATTAAACAATAGTAAATTAGCGGAGTATTAAACAATAGTTAATTAGCTGAGGATTAAACAATAGTAAATTAGCTGAAGGTACATTAAACAATAGTGAATTAGCTGAGGATACCTTAAACAATAGTGAATTAGCTGAGGATTAAACAATAGTGAATTAGCTGAGGATACATTAAACAATAGTACAGAGTAAAACACACACACACACACACACACACACACTGTATGGCGTCACAGTCCAGTATCAAGACTGTATACAGTATCGAAAACCCTTAAGTCAGTCACCCAAAGTCACTGAGAGTAACTTTCCTTTAACTGGTGAACGCATCGAGTTAGTATCAAGTCTCGGTGGAATTTTGAAGCCATTTTTAGCCGGGTTGTGTTTCTCGTCAGGTTATAAATGTGTTGTCATGTTTATTTGGGGGGGGGGGGGCGGGTTAGGGTTACCTGGGAATCTTTGAGAATCTGGCCCCTGTGTTATGGATTCTTCATTATAAATAAGAATATAAATACCAGAAGGTTAGATTGAATTTTTTGTTTGTTTTTGTTTTTATGTTTTTTTTTACTTATTAAAAACAAAATGGTTATACCGTAGATAAGATTACAGGTACAGCCCGGTACAGGATCCGATACTACATAAGTATCGGTAGATTTACACACACACACACGTATAGGTGATACAGTTACATGGGTGGACATTTCACCGCTCATGACAACTTTCCCAGCGGACAATTCCCGCCAGATAATTCACAGTCGGACGATTCACATTTGGGCAATTCACAGTTGCGTATTTCACAGCTGGACAATTCACAGCCGGACAATTTCCAGCCGGACAATTTCCAGCCGGACAATTTCCAGCCGGACAATTTCCCGCCGTATAATAATCCATCGCCGGACAATTCCCCGCGGACGGCGCTGACTGGCTGGCTGTGGGGTGTCGCCAGGTCGCTAATAAAACTTTTATTGACTAGTGGTAAGCGGGTGATATGGGAAAGACAACACCTTGTACATGTGTCCGCCGCCCACTTTTGCCGTCGTCCATCCCGCCCTCTACCGCTCACCCCGCCCGCACCCGCCCATCCCAACCTACCCTACCCTCAACCCCGCCCATTCTAACCTACCTCCGCTCACCACTCTCTCCAACCCACCTCCACCCATCCCCCGCCCACTTCCACCCATCCCCCGCCCACCTCAAGTCACCCCAGCACACCTCCACCCATAACAATCCACTACCTGCCATCCAGCGTGTAAGTACAGCTATACGTCACCATTGCGTCATCCATGAGAGTAGGACGAACAAAGCGTGTACTAAGGAGCGGGGCGTAATACTGTTGGGTAAACACGGGGTAGAGACCCAGGATGTGACTCATGTACTGTACCAGCATCTCGCCTTGATCACCACCAACTCCAGCTAGCTCGGTAGACCACATACAATAGTAACACCGGATAATGTTTGATTGAAATAAGCCGGGGAGACTAATCTTTACGTCATCTTTCGATATTTTGTTTCTGTGTCGTCAAAATGTTTCCCGTGCTCGAAACACTTTATGTCTACTGTATATTGTGATGTGTGTAAAGCATTGGTTGTCGTTCTTGGCCACCGTATTTGTTATCACTACAACTCGTTTCTTATTGGTGAGCAGATCAATGGGTCAATCTCTATCGTTGTGCCAGTGGATATCTGTTGTGTGTGGATACTGACAACAGAGGGGGTCAGTTTAGTAGTGCTGGACATGGTCGTCACTAAAGTCTCGGTCTATTACTTCTTTCTGCCCACTTAACACCCCCACGTGTTATTTTTCGTGTATTTGTACATAGTTGTGTCCACACTTTAAT